TTATTATTATTATTATTATTATTAACAAACAACAATAAAAATAATACATCTAATACATCTATTTTTACATTTTATATAAAATATTATTACATATATGATGTATATATGATGTATATATGATGTATATGATATATGTAAAAGCGAATGTTATTAAAACTATTTTCTCCAGTATTTGTGTCTATTATTATTATTATTTATAATAATAATATTATAAATATTAATAAATAATATTATTTTTATTTTGTGCTTATTTTCTGCTTATTGGTCTTGTCATTACCACAGCTACATTCTAAAAGCAAATGTTATTGAAATCATGCACACAGTTTTCTGTGGGTGTCATGGTGCCTGTGTAGCATGCTTGAAGTTGGTTACTTGTGAGGGTCCATTTCAGTTAGGATGCTGCCTATACAGCTGCATACGTAGACAGTAGATCATGTATATGTAATACTCTATTATGGACTATATTATTGTAAATAGATTATTTTTAGGATAGAATATAGATTGTGTGGCTTAGTGATTACATTTCCTGTCTGGCAAGCCAAAGGTTTAAGGTTCAAACTCTAGAAGTAGTGTTCTGCTGTAGTAAAATGTGTGTGCTAAAAAGCATGTGCTAAATTCATCATAATGTCATGTAATTTACAACACTATTTCACCGAGGCTGATTTTTGGCTTTGATGAACTGTATAAAGAATATGGATTGGAGTGTTATGCATATGATTGATCGGTTTTCACTGAAACCGAATAATCTTTTGGGGTCGTTTATCTGACTGGTATATGTGCGTAATCTACATGAGCAGTTAATGACGCTTTTACTCATTGGGGAGTGTGATAAACAGCAGGTGTTGATGTTAAAGTTGTGTGTTGTGTGCGTTTTATTGCAGGCAGCTTCAGCAGCAACAGCAGGCCGAGCTGGAGGTTCACCAGAGAGACGGACTGACTGCTTATGACCTGTCACAGGTGTGTGCGCACACACACACACACACACACACACACACACACACTCTCTTTTCTCCCAGTCCGTCATTTAGTCTTCTAACCCTCACAGGTGCATTACTCTCTTTAGCTGGTGTAGTACGTATAATTTATCCTCCTTCATTTTATATGCAAGTCCCTCTTAAATCAGTGTCACAGCTGAAGCTGTTTTAGATTTATACTTCAAATTGAATATCAGCCAATGAAGCTCCCAGAGGAGTATTTTATTCTCCAGAAGTGCTGTTTAATAGCTCCAGAGCCTTACTGGAGTTAACACGGTGTGTTTCATTGGCTTTGTCTTTGATGATTGTTGTCATACTATATATACGATATACTCTGTACTCGATAGAGTTATGAAATGAATGAGAATAGCAGCTCAGATGATTTGGTCTTCATTTGATGAGAAGTGTTAGAGTTCATATTGAGATCTGTGATGTTTCTCTAAATCTACAAAAACTGTACACCAGTTTTTCCGTTTTTAAAATAAATAATAAATGAAAAAAAAAAAGTTTGTGCTAAAAAACATAAATTATTTGATTTGTTTAACTGTATCCAATTAATTCTCCAAATCATTTGTCCTGTGTATGGTTGCAGGGATGACTATTGCATCATCTAAATTATTATTTATTTTATTTTATTTTTTTCATTTACTTTTATTTTAATGAATTTAATTTCTCAGGTGGTTCTTTTTAGAAGAAGTCTCCATTTTGTTCTCTGTTCAATCTCATTGCTGTCTAGGAGAAACAGTTGATATATTGAGATATTACATCCATTTTTTTTTCTTTTTCACAAGCAGTAGCCTGATCTTCTCCTTTAGCTTTTCTGTTTTGTGTATCAAAGTTGTTTTATTCTTTTGACACCCTTGAAAAGGTTCATTCAAAGTCATTTGTATACATTTTAAGAAAGATTTGTCTAAAATGTTTTATTTACATTAAAGTTAATACATAAAAGTTATTCAAATTGTAATTTTAGCAACCCAAGTATGGTTTTTATAATGAAAATATGCAAAGAAGCTGGTGTGGCATTAAAAAACAAACAAACATATTAGACATCTAGTAAAATACATTCTTTCTATACTAATAAGGAAAAAAGGAAACCGTTATATTACAATATTATATATTGTACACTGTTTCTGTTTCTCATTTAATTATGTCATTTGCAATGCTTCATGGGATGTGTATTTCATTGTCTCATAATCTAAAGTCAAAATTAAACATTATTTTTAATGTGTGTTTTATGCATGCAACAATTCATCCATGCATTTATTTGTACTTTTTTCAAATTGTCATAACTTGCTCATCCTATGCTCATTTTATGACATATACAAGCGAATTGCATTAATTTCTGCCTCTATCCCGGTATGAGTTTACTGTTTACTCACTGTTTACATTACAATCAACAAACGAATGAAGTTCCTCCCTACTTTTTTTTTTATTCTTGTTTAAGTTAGAAATAAAGTCTTTTGCAACTTCCATTTCATACCAAATTTAGGTCTGTTTTCCTGATTTTCAAGTACTTGTTTGCTTCAAATCAGAGTTTGTAATGTTTTAATTCATCTCAAAACCACTGATTTCATTCATGGCTCAGGACTCTTCATTTTTTAAAATCCTAATGGATGAAATGAATGAAAAAAAAATCTTCCAGAATCGTTTCCAGTGCAAAGTGTGAGGTCACTGTTGTGCACTTGATGCTTTGTGACAAATGTTAGGATGAGATGCATGCTGGAACGGCATTGTATGTTACTGTGGCTAATGACTGATAAATGAGATAGTGAATCTGCGTAACTGTAGTCGTTTCAGCCGTGGAGCGTTAACTCCCTCTCTGAGGATCTGTGCTATAAAAATAGGCCATAGTTATGAGGTGAAGTCACACATTTGGAATATGCCCTCCATCTTTATCTTTCTTTGACAACTTTTACATCTTAACACACATTTGCTTTGAGTCATAAGTGTTAATTTGGTTATGTTATATCATATGTTGTTTTTGTTAAAGGGGTCATTTGAGTCAGTCTTAATAAAGCAGAGAGGATTGTTTGTTGAAAACCGATAACGTCTCACACATGGCATGTTGTGTGTTTACAATCTGTGAGTGTTTAACACCTGTCTGCAATTTAGAAAGTGTTAGAAAGTGACCGTCATTATTGATTCCTGTGTTTGCCCTTACAAAACAAAAATATATGGAAATATATTGGAAAATAATATAATGCGATTATATTAAATAATACATTTCCATATATGGGAAACTAGTGCTTGTAATTTTCAATACACTGCAGTATATGCATAAGTCATGCATGATACATATAAAAATATAAAGAAATTAAGACAAAAAACTGCACTACACTTTTGCATGTACACTGTTAAGAATGATATGGTCATGGCAACTTATGTTTTTTATGCGTTTTATGAAATTTTACTTGATTTTTAAGTCGTTTTAATGTAATTTAAGTTTGAAATGACTTATACTACCAAGTTGACTATACTTAAAACTTAAAAGAAAATTATTTTAAAAAATGTGTGTGTGTGTGTGTATATATATATATACATACATATGTGTGTGTGTGTGTGTATATACATACATATGTGTGTGTGTGTAATATATATTTATACACACACACACTACATATGTTCATATATTTATACACACCGTACCATATATAATTACATGTACATCTGTTTATTATTAAGTGTATTTAATATGCAATAATATAAGTAAATATATTGTCACACATTTTTCAGTATGAGAAAAACAGTTCCTTGTGTATTATTCAACGTATACAATATATTGTAATATATAAACACAACATTTAATTCTAGATATGTTCGTTATATAATAAATTTTATATACTGATTGTTAATATGTAAGGAAATATATTTTCTTTGTGTAAAGGCCGGTTTCATACTTTCTGTAAAGTTAGGTTTGTGTTCATTGTGGCTTTTATTTCATTTCTTATTATGCATTAATTAGCATTCAGTTTTCTTGAGTTGAAATGTCAATCACAGACAGATCCGCTCTTGTTGATGTCCACAGGTGCCGGTTGCCAGCATCCCAGCCGGCGTTCACGAGGCGGGCAAAACCATCGACAAAACTGATTCGCTGTTCTCGCAGGAGAGAGACCCGCGCTTCAGCGACATGTACACGGGCATCTCTGGATGTATGTTCATACAGATATTACATCTGACTAGCACCGCATCACGCACTGATTTCAATCTAAACATGCAATTTACTGTAATTTCACTTAATGTAATTACAAAACCCACACATGTCTGCCAGCTCGAGTTTGTACGCTATGTAATGCTTGATATGAAGTGTATACAATCTGTGATTGGTGCATTTGGTAGATATTACGACAACCTTCAGAAATTCCAGCATAAACACATGAAGTCCATATTTCTAGCTGGTCAAAGCCAGTTGTTTAGTGTCATTAGCTGGTTCAAGCTGGGCAATTCTGATAAGTTTGCATGCTTTTGCTCTGTAGTTTGACTCTGGCCAGGGCTTAAAGTTCTCTGGCACTGTGCCGGTGTTGTGCCCATTTTTGACCCCTGCCAAATTATTACCCCCTCTCGTTGAAATCGCTACCTGATTGCCTAATCCTAACCCCTCCCCCACACCTAACCCTAAACCTACCAATACTAGGGGGGTAGTAATCTGTCGGGGGTCAGAATTGGGCACAACACCGGATCTCCGGCTTGCAGCGTTTGGCTATGGAAAAAAATAATCCTACATTTAAAAAAAACATGTTGATATCACTTTCGAGTCCATGAGTTCGCCAACCAATGGTATGAGAGGAGCACAGCTTTCACTCTCAACCAAACTAACATTACTAGCCAATCAGAATTTTTTGCTCTTATAAACACGAGATGCGCATAATAGTATCCAATTGGAGACTCGCAGCCCTGATGAATGGAGAAGTTGAAAAAGCATTGAAAAAGCTGCAAGGCACAATGGTCAAAGATGTCCATCTAGCGCATATTTAGATAGAAAAACTAATTAAAAAGCAGCGGAGCTTTGTAAACAGCTCAGAGTAATCATGGCATCTCCATAAGAACGATATGATCGCCAGAACAAATTTACCGGGATTTTTTAAAAGGTCCTGTTCACACATGATCTCTTAATGATAACTTACCGGTAATTTACCAGTAACGACTGTAACTTGTGTGTGAAAGGGGCTAAACTCTTCCTCTGCATATGCTGTGAATTTGAATAGCTTAACGTTCATCTGGGAAAACAGTGTGCATTATCTCACTAGATTTGCAATGTAAATAATTTATAAACCTTTGCCAACACAGGAGAATACATCAACCTATGCCTAAATATGCCATGTATTGTATATCGCGATTTAAAAATAAAAGTTTCTGAGTTTGCATGTGGCCAAATATTACAATTTAATGGATTTAAAGGGGTCATATGATGCGATTTCATTTTTTCCTTTCTCTTTAGAGTGTTACAAGCTCTTGGTGCATAAAGAAGATCTGTAAAGTTGCAATGATTAAAGTCTCAAATCCAAAGAGATATTCTTTATAAAAGTTAAGAGTTAGCCACACCTACCTAAAACGGCTCGTTCGAACACGCCCCCACATACCTACCTCACTATGTGGGAAGATTTGCATAAAGCCCCCAAATGTTCACGCAAAGAAAGAAGGCGATATCCGCTTCGTCATGCCTAGAGCTGACACATTTCATTACACCAAATACACAAAATAATGTTCTTTTTAGCAGCATCATATGACCCCTTTAAACATCGTTTAATCGCGCTGTAAAGTGAAACGTCACCAGGCCGTTGCCGCCCTCTGCAGGTATTTGTTATAATAATGTACTTAAGTTGGTTATGTTCATATTATGTATAGGCATATGACATTATGTATTTTAACAGTGTTGTTCAATAAAACCATGTAATTACTTGGTTTTGATATTTTATTTGAGCCAATTATTATTGCCTCATCGTTAGTTTATATATAAATAGTCATACTAAAACCTGGTTTTCACTTAGGTCTGTTTGTGTTACTAAAAAATATCAGATTACTCACACTTAGGTCTGTTTGTGTTACTAAAAATATCAGATTACTCGGTTGTCAAAATAATCAGTAGATTACTTGATTAATCTACTGATTAATCATTAGTTACAGCCCTAGATTAGTTAAAATATTTCAAAATACAACTGCATTGTTTTACGGTTTGTAATTAAAAGACAAATATTTTGTCATTGAAAATTTCTTAAAAATAGTTTGCTGCAGCATGGATCAACCTGCTGGTTTCGTCTGGCCGGAGGAGAACTGGCCCCCGACTGAGCCTGGTTTCTCCCAAGGTTTTTTCTCCATTCTGTCACCAATGGAGTTTTGGTTCCTCTGGCTTGCTTAGTTGGGGACACTTAATATCCAGCGATATCGTCGACTTGATTGCACAGATACTATTTAAACTGAACTGAGCTGGATGATGACACCACTGAATTCAGTGATGAACTGCCTTTAACTGAAAATTTAGTGTTTACTGTTGTCCTTTTGCATTATGGACACACTATTTTCCTATTTGAGACTGTAAAGTTGCTTTGACACAATCTGTATTGTTAAAAGCGCTATATAAATAAAGGTGACTTGATAGTATTAAAATATAGTCTCGTCCTAGTGAACCAAGTATCTGTATTTTGTCTCATCTCGTGAGCTAAGTGTATTGTCACACCCCTAGTGTCGATAAGCGGTGATATAGCTCATAATTTTCCAAGTGTATGATATAGGTTTCATTCTTCGGGTCAACCATATATTCATGAAAAAAAATCAGTTTGAATAAAGAAAGCAATAACTTTGCCATAGTATCCTTTCAAATGTTAAAGTTGCCACAGTCATTGCATGCTTTGCATGTGCTGCCCCCGCCCCCGAAAAAAGTTCAGGCTCAGGATTTTTTCTTTTTGCTTTAACCTCTGTGGCTGATAAAGATGTTGCTGTAATGTGATGTGTGACTGTGTCTCCTCTCTTGAATGTAGTCATTCAGCGTGAGCTCGATAAGGATCTGTGTTTGTTTGTGTTTGTGTTTAGCTGATAAGAAGATGATGGTGCCGTCCTCCACTGCTGGTGGCCAGCAGTTATACTCTCAAGGCAGCCCGTTCCAGCCCGGACACTCCGGCAAGAGCTTCAGGTGTGGACAAACACACTTCACATGAAAGTAGAAACACAGTCTGCTCATTTGATTGCTTTAATGCAGAATATACAACTCCAGTCGCACCAATACCACAGTTTTTACATGCAACATCACAGAAAAAATTACTGATACAATATTGTTCAAAACTTTTTGTTCAGTTGTTTTAATACTTTTATTCAGCAAGGATGCATTAAATTTATCAATTTGCATTGATCAAGTGACAGTAAAGACTTATAAATATTAATTCAAATAAATGCTGTTATTTTAAACTTTCTATTCATCAAAGAATCTTTAAAAAATTATCAGTTTCCACAAAAATATTAAGCAGCGCAACTCAAAATCAGCATATTAGAATGATTTCTGAGTTGATCACAGGAATAAATTACAGTTTAATATATATTTAAATAGAACAATTATAAGAATATTTCAGAATATTACTGTTTTTGCTGTATTTTTGTACTTTCCTGGAATGATATATATTACAGAATAATGTTAATTATGGCTGTCTACAAAATATAACTTTGGTGTGAATGGTAGGTGAATTGAGAACATTTATTAGTCGCAAATATTTCTTGCTGGCCATAAAACTATTTGTGCCATTATTGCATTAAATGCTTACGCTGTGTGCTTTTGAAGAAGAAATTTGACAGAGAAAATGTAGTTCATTTTCCCGTCACTCACATCATACTTTAGATGGGTTTCAAAATGCCACCTGTCACCAAAATGTTGAGGCCTGTCATGGTTTAGGGACTTATTTTAAGCTAATTGCTAATATATATATATATATATACACCGCACACTTCAAGTGTAACATCAAAGCAAGCGCGCACCGCGTCTCTCACAACGCATCCTGTGCAATGAAGCCCGCGAATGTCCTTGTAATTGGCTTCAACCTTTCCAAACTTTATGAAAGATTATTTTACGGAAGGTTCGAGTGGTGTATGTGTGTGAGGAATTGGAAGCAAGCAGAATACGGATGTTTCTAAAGCAAACTCAGCAACATCGCACATCTGGTTAAAATCTAAGCTCATTTCAGAATTCTGAAATTCTCAGAGTCGATCCAGAATCGTTGGAGAGAGAATCGCGATGCATCGATGGATCGATTTTTTTCCCCACCCCACCCAAATATATATATATATATATATATATATATATATATATATATATATTTGGATCTTTCTATTCATCAAAGAATCCTGAAAAAAT